TGGCTGGAGAAAGTAAGCTAAAAGAGGCAGTCGCTTGACAAGCGGGAGGTCAGTTCTGGACATCAGAAAGAATGGCACAGCAAGGAAACTTTGGGAAGAAAGGGGGGGTGCAGACACATCCACTTGCAACTGACAAGAGTAAAAATGAGGTAGAAGCAGACAGAACATCATCATCTGCCACACTTTTATTAATTCAGTCCTCAGATATGCACTGCTGGACTCTGGGGACCCAACCAGGATGAGAGAGATTCCAGCCACAGTTCCACAGTTAGAGAGGAAACTGCAAAATTTTTCAAAAGCAAATACTGTTTTCCACAGGAGACAGTGCCATGAAGAGCTATTTTAGAAAGTGGAGAAAAATCAGGGAGTCAGAATCCCATCAGCCTGGCCTCAGCATAACAAGTGGTGTGTAGCCAACATGGTGGCAGGGGAGGGGGGGACGACACCTGAGCAAAGGGCAAAACAGAGCAGAGTGCTGCAGGTGACAGGGCTTCAAATACAACCCCTGCAAGAATGAACACTAGTTGCCACGGGAAGTGCCAGAGCATTTCACTTTTCTAAAATATCACTGAAGTTCACACAGCTCATGATACTCTTCTTTACCTCTAAGTTGAAGACCAAAAAAAAAAAAAATCTACTCTTAGTTTGCCCTTGACATGTACTAAAGTATGTGGAAAGTGGCAGTCTACCTTTGCAGCATAGCTCATTAAAAAAAAAAAAAATTAAGTGTGCCAAGAGGCAAGAAGTAGGCAGGACTTTAAGGTATGCATAGCCTGTGGAGCAGTGCTGCCCTCAGAATCAACCCAGAGGCCCATCATGGGCACACATCAAACAGACGTTCAAAGGACGGACCATCATCACAGAACCCCTGGACCCAGCTGTGGTCACAACAGAAGCACCAGAACCACCTGTGTGGCAACATACTGGTATCAAAAGACAGCTGGCAACCGATGATTGCTGAGGGGGAATTAATTTTCTCCAGCCACAAACTCCCTGACAGATTTTCTAATCCCAGTGGTCAGCCCTAACACACTGTCCGAATTTTCCATTGCTGTGATCAAATACTTGACCAAAACCAACCTGGGGAGGAAAGAGTTTATTTAAGCTTACAACTCCCTGGTCAATCATCACTGAGGGAGATCAGGATAGAAACTCAGGGCAGGAACCGAAGCACAGACCATGGAGGAACACTGCTTACTGGCTTGTTCCTCAGGCCTGTGTTCAACCTACTTTCTTATACCAGGACCACTGAAGGGGCACCAGGCATTGGGCCCTCCCACATCAATTACCAATTAAGAAAATGCATCACAGACATGGTCACAGGTAATGCCACAATTGAGGTTCCCTCTTCCTAGGCATGTCAAGTTGACAACTGAAGATAATCCAGCACACACATGTACACATGAGCATCATTAACTGGACTCAGGGCAGTACATATATATGTATATAGTTATAAATGTATGTATATATATATATATGTAACAATAATAGTTGAAGAGGATTAAAAGGGAGTGGGGAGTTATGAGGAGTTGGAAGAAGGAGTAAGGGAGTATACATCAAGTACTTACACGTGAAATTCTCGAAAAAAATTGTTTTAAAGACAGCTGGACCTTAGAGAGCAGAAATACACTACATGAAATGGGAAAGCCAGACTAGTACTCAGAAAAGCCTGAAAAGGGAATCTCATGAGTCACCATCTGAAAAGGTTACTGATAATTCTGAAAGGTGACAGCTCAAAAAGGGTAAACCTCATGCTGCCTTTCCAGGAGAACCCCGAGTTCAAAACCTAGTGGTCACTAAGGAATGCTTGCTATTAGTAGGTAAGTGACACAACCAGATTAGCCTCAGTCATTAGCACCCCTCCACGTCATCAGTTGGTAGTAAGTGCTATTATTTCCTACCAACATGAAGAACTGACAGCCCTAGAGACAGCAGGCACACTGTGAAACAGTGAAATGCTATGGGGCCCAAATGTGATTCCACAGCGTACAATGTGACATGAAATATATCCTGCCCTGGCCCATGCAACTCAAACAGGACCTTTCAGCTGAACTTCTAATCTAAAAGAAGTTTGGGAACATGGGTGAGGCAAACAGCAGCAAAAATCCACCATTTCAAAAATGACAACAAAAATCAACCACTGTTCAGAGAGGGCCATCCTAAGAAAACAAATGCTGACAAGGATGCAGGTAGGAATGTGAATTCATCCAGCCACTATCAAACACAACACTAGAGATTCCTCAAAAAAACTAAAAACTGGGAGCTTAGTGGTTACAAGCACATACCATTCTTGCCAAAGACCCAAGTTTAGTCCCTAACACCCCTGACAGGCAACTCATAACTACCTACAACTCCAGTTCCAGAGAATCAACATCTCTGGACTCCATAAGCACCTGCACTCACATGCACATAAACAAACACACACACACACACACACACACCCAATGGGGGGCCCCTAAAATTGAACTACCATATGATACAGCTATGCCTATGTATTCAGTGAAAGGAAATGAAGTCAGCATACAAAAGAGATATCTACATACCTATATGTATTGTGGCAATATTCACAATATATGGATCACCCAAGATGCCCACTACCAAATTAATAGATATGGAAATTATAGTATGTACAATAAAATATTCAGTCATAAAAAATGAAGTATGTCATTTTCAGGAAAATGGCTGGAACTAGAAGACATCATGTTAAACAAAATAAGCCAGACTCAGAATAACAAGTATCACCTCTTCCCTCACACCTAAGATTGAGGGAAAAGACATGAAAGTACAAAGCAAACAATTAGAGAAGGGAGGAGAATGGTGGGTTGGGGCAAGAAAGGGCATTGCAGAAGGCAAACTCAATCTAATCACAACATGGAAATGTCAGTTACGTTCATTAATCTGTACAGTAAATATGGGCTAATACTATTCCACAATTAAAAGGGCACATCTTGAGCATTAGTTATTTTCCTTGGTGTTGTGATCAAATGTCTGACAAAAAGCAACTTAAGAGAGGAAGGGTTTACTTTAGCTTACAGCTCAAGGGGACACTGTTCATGGCAGGGAAGACATGGCATCAGGAGCACGAGGCAGCTGGTCGCATTGGATCCATAGTCAGGAAGCCGAGAACATGACATAGGAACAGATTATAAACCTCAAGGCCTTCCCCCAGAGACCCACTTCATCCAATGAGGCTCCACCTTCTGAAGTTTCTACAACCTTCCAAAATAACACTACCAGCTAGAGACCACGTATTCAAACACACAAACCTACAGGGAACATTCATACTCAAATCACACTACCTTGCGATGATGGCTCTGTGATACACCCACACAGGGTCTCCTTTACACAGATGCTCTGTGAGTGTAAGAAAGCGGTAAGCCAGAGTCAGCAGAGAGACGCAGCAGCACCTCTGCCAAGTCAGGGCTGGTGGAGCAACACTGGGCACTAAGACACAGGCACAGCCTTCCTCCACACTGGAGAAAGGCCCTGAGCTATGTTAGGCCACTCTAACAACAAGCTTAAGAAATGCTTCAAGAGGGTCAAACCAGTCCCAAGTGCTTTATGGCCTAGAACAAAGCTGAAAATACTAAAGGAAACCACAAAATACAGCAATTATAAATTCATAATGTGTAGCATCCAATCAAAAACTTCCAGTCACATGCTGGCTTCGGCAGCACATATACTAAAATTGGAATGATACAGAGAAGATTAATATGGCCACTGTGTAAGGATAATATGCAAATTCGTGAAGCAGTCCAGATTTTTAAATAAACATGAGAAAAAAAAAAACTTCCAGTCATTCAGAGCAACATTAAACTATGACCCAAAACCAGGTGCACAAGCAATGACAGAAAACACAAATGAGTGGCTGATGGCTTGGCAGGCTTGGAAGTGCTTGCTGTGCAGGCCTCTGAACCCAGTTTAATCCCTAGAACCCATGTAAAGGTGGAAAGAGAGAACTGACTCCACAAAGTTGTCCTCTGAAACCCACTGTTGCACACAAACATACAATGCAAACACAATAGTAATAAAGAATTTTTTAGAAGAAAACATGAATGCATGGGTTTAGTGGTAATATAGTTTAGTGGTAATATACTTGCCCAGCATGTGTGAGGCCCTGAGTTCAACCACCAGCACCACTGGAGGGGTGGTGAGGAAGGAACACAAATGTAATAAGGAGAGAAATAAAACACACTTTTAAATGAGCCAAACAGCACCTCTATGAATGAAAAAATGTGTTATTTATAATGAAAATACACTGCATGGAATTAAGAACAGATTTGAAACTGCAGAAGAAAGGCCTGGGAACATTCATTCATTCATTCATTCATTCTTTCATTTTTGGAGACAGGATTTCATTCTGTAGCCTGGGACAGCTTCAAACAATCCTCACACTTCAGCCTCCCAAGTCTCGAGTGCTGGGATTTTAGGCATGAGCCATTACACCCAGCTTGAGAACCTTGATCCAACAAGAGAGGAAGACTCCACAGGACTACCTGGAACCGTAGACAACCAGCAGATGATCTGAAAACTGGAGTCTCAGGGACAGGAGAGAGCAATAAAACACTGGAGAAATGAAGTTACGATATCTATTTCTAAACCCAATGAAAACTAAACACTCAAATTCAAGAAGCTTGGCAGACCCAGTCAATGAAAAACAAGACCACATCATCACACATAATTGGAAGCAGCCAGCTAGGAAAAGGCACAGAGCAAACTGTAAGATATTGATGAGGGAAAATAAAAAACCCTAGAATTTTATACCTAACAAAAATGTCTACCTACCTACCGTAAAGATTTTGGGGTTCCCCCGCAAGAGAAAGTACAGATAACTAATAAAGCAAACCAACACTACAACACAGAGGAAGTCCTTCAGGCAGAAGAGTGTCATTTACATCCATGTAAAGGAATGAAAGGTACTAGAAGTGTCAAAGGTATAAAAAGCAAGCAATTCAGTCTTTTTTTTTTTCTTTTATTGTGTAATATAAAAACAGTAACACACTGTAAGCTTGACAACACTGTAGACATAAAATGCTTCACAAAAAAATCCTGGTTAGAAGAGAGGACAGTGGGTTGGGCATGTCTGCACAAGAGCATCATAGAAACAGGCTAGGATGAAGCAGGACTCATAAACCAATAATGGAGGTAAAATAGTCACAAAAATTTCATTCCAAGCCAATACTCAGAAGGCTGAGGCAACCTCAGCTACAACGTGCCACCTTGTCTCAAAAAAAAAAAAAGTGAAACACTGAAAAGTATGTAAAAGCATGCTTCAAAATGAGAGACTAAAACCAAATCACAGTAATAACAAGGGTTAGCAAACTTTCTCTGTGCGGTACCAGATTATAGGCTACATTCTCATAAAATATATCTCCAAAAATGGGCAGCAAGCCCTACTTCAAAAGGGACCAGTAAAAGTCTGTAATCTCAGCACTCCAAAAGACAGAGAGAGGCAGGAGGATTTTGAGTCTGAGATCTGACTAAGCTATACAATGAGTCTTTGTCTCAAAAAAAACAAAATGAACAAACAAAAAAAAACAAGGAGTCTAGCTCAGTCATGGAGCACTTGCCTAGCATGCAAAAGGTCCTGGGCTGTATCCCAGTACTACAACAGAAGGCGTAGGAAACCCAGCAAAAAAAAAAAAAAAAAATTTTTTTTTTTTTCCCGTTTTTAAGTCTTTTTGAGACAGGGTCTCCTTGTAGCCCCAGCTGACCTGGAACTTCCTATGTAGACCAGGCTGGCCTCGAACTCACAGAGATCCGCCTGCCTCTGCCTCCCAAATGCTGGGATTAAAGGCGTGCGCCACCACGCCCGGCCAGCCCAGCAAAAATTTTAAAAACCAACACCACCAAATATTTTTAAGAATGTGGAGCAATGCACTATTTGAATACAAGTCATACCATTTTGGACAAACATTCACCCACTTGTTGTAAAGTAAACATACAACATGGGTCTGGAGAGATGGCTCAGCAGTTAAGAGCACAGACTGTTCTTGCAGAAAACCCAGGTTCAAATCCCAGCACCCATATGGCAGCTAACAACTATCCGTAACTCCAGTTCCAGGAGATTCAGCAACCTCTTCTGTCCTCCTCCAGCACTGCATGACATGGGTGCACTTACCTACATGCAGGCAATGCACATATATGCATAAAACAAAAATAATTATTTTTAAAAAAGTAAACATACAACAACCTTCTAATTGCAATCTAGGTTTTATTCCAAGAAATAAAATTAGATAGCCACAAAGCATTTCATATGAATAGTTAGGGCTGGGGAATGTAGCTCAGTGGCAGAGTCCTTGGTTCAGATGCACAAGACCCTGGGTTCAATCTCCAGAATCAGCCCCCTCCCAAAAAACAACTCACAAGAACTTCATTCATAACAGTCAGAAATCAAACAGTCTAGGTGCCTAACCATAAAGAGAATAGATAACGTGTAATGGGGTATTAGCAACAGTAAGGACCTAACACACACATATAACAATATAGAAAATAAGCCGGGTGTGGTGGCACTCACCTTTAATCCCAGCACTTGGGAGGCAGAGGCAGGTGGATCTCTGTGAGTTCAAGGCCAGCCTGGTCTACATAGTGAGTTCCAGGACAGCTGAGGCTACAGGGAGACCATGTCTCAAAAAGATCAAAAAAAAAAAACCAATATAGAAAATATTCCACAGGAATAACTACAACTTTCATTAACATAAAATTGTATACAAGGCACATATAATCTACAGTGATTATATACAGTAATATATACTGTAATATTTTGTAAAGTGGTAGCCAGTGAAGGCAAAGGCAGGGATTAACAGGAAAAAGCTTACCAGGACTTTATGGAATGAAGAGATTGCTATATAACCTGACAAGGACTTACACAACACACACATATATGCCAAGATCAGCAGTACATACGAACTGGCAAAGGGTAAATGCACAGTTTCTTTGAAATACAACAAAAATAAGATGGACCCAAGAGAGGAGAGATGTAGAGATGAACAACAAAGTCACTATAATAAAATGTCAACAATCCTATAGAAATCTCTCTGAGAAAGGACCAGACACCAATCTTGGCCCTTCAGAAATTAGTAATATTCATGTACATTAGAGCAAAGAGTGACTGTTACTATGGTTAGGAACCCTGGTAACTATTAGTTGTTCACTACCCAATTGCCATTTATAAGTAAAATCTAATTCAAACTTGGAAATTCCTCTATTAAGAAACTAGCATGGACCTGGCCTGAACACATGCCTTTAATTCTAGTACATAGGAAGCAGAGGCAGGAGGCCAACCTGGTCTAGATAACAAGTTCTAGGCCAGCTGGGGCTAAAAAAAAAAGTCAAATATAAAAAAAAAAAAAAAAAAAAAAAGTTTGGGGCGAGCTGGGGTAAAAAAAAAAAATAAAAAAAAAAAAAAAAAAAAAAAAAAGAACTGGCCTAGGATCACAGCTCAATGGTAAACACTTATCTAGCATGCATAGTTCTCTAAACCAAATTTTTTACAAGTTGTAAAAATTCAGAGCAGACATTCTTCCTATTTCTACAGTCAGGAGTAAAGCAAGCACAGAATTATCAATGACTAAGATTAGATAAGACAGAAACTCTTATTTAATATTTTTAAAACTACCTATACCAGTCATATATTCTCAATGTTATAAGAAAGAAATTACTGGGAAACAACTTTACCAATAAAGTGTGCAACTAAGACCTTAATTTTGAAACTTGCAATACTGCATATACTTAGTTCACAGATCAACACACACAAAAAAAGAAAACCCTAGCATAACTATGAGATCCACTTCATCCCTCTAATAATACTGGGAAGTTACCATCTTTTGCCAAAACAAGTAATTTAGTACATTATCCACAAACGTAAAAAAAAAAAAATGTATAACCAAGAACTGTAAAAATCCCCTCCTAAACCAGGCATGCTGGCGTACTCCTGCAATCCCATTCTTCAGGAAGCTAAGTCAGGAGGACAGTGTGAATAGCTTACATAGCTCACTTAGGAAGATGTAATAAAGACGCTTTCATACAGGCATCTGAAGCATTAGCAATTCCCACTTTTGAAGAATCTTATCCAGTCTTCAAACTCTTCCATCTCTCCCCCAAGCGAGTCAGCCCTAGTAGCATCTGCAATATTACTGATTTCTTGACCTGTTACTTGTATACGTACCTTCAGCAACTCCTTGCAACTGTCAAGTCCAATATCTACAAGAATGCCTTTCACCCTTTTCCGCACCTTTCTGATGTTGTCAAGATTCTCTACAGGAATTTGAAACATTTTTGAAGTTTTCCCTAAAAGAAAGAAAAAAATAACTGAAATATGCATACACACAAATACAATTTAACCTGGCTTGTAAAACACTATAGTTATCTACACCAAGTGGTGCTGAGGAAACTGGATAACCACATGCAAAGAATGAATCTTGCCTCCTTCCTAACAGCACCAGCAAATGTGGATCATACACCTAACATGAAAACATGCGCTAAACCAGACTCTTAGGTGAAAATCTAGGCATAAATCTTCATAGCTTTGGATCTGGCCTAGATCCTTACATATGGCACCAAAAAGCACCCACAACAGAATAAAAAATACATTAGCCAGACTTTAAATAAATTAAAAACTTGAAAGCCTCCAAGGTCACCATCAAAAACACAAAAATTACACAAAAGTCGGGGGTCTTTCTATTTCAGATATATCCAGAATAAAGAATTTATAACTCAGTAATTGAAAAACAACCCAACTTATTTAAAATGGGCAAACGATCTAAACAATTTTCCAAAGTATGTGAAAACATGCTAAATAGCTTCAGGAACTAGAGAAATTCAAATGAACCCACATGGATGAGGGTGGCTTCAATTTTTAAAAAAAGAAAAGCATATTGGCAGGATATAGAGAAACTGGAACTTGCAAACACTGGTAATGGTAAGGAACACTGTTCAGACCATTCAAAAACAGAAAGTCCTTCAAAAGACCCAGTGGATAAGTACCATCTCAGTCAGCAATTCTACCCAAGAGAAATGGAAAACACCCATCTACACAAAAAATTGGGCAACGATGCTCAGAGCACTGGCCAAAAAGAACTACTCAAATATCCATAAAGTGGTAAGACAAATGTGTATACAAGTATTTTTAAGCCATAAAGAGAAGTAAAGCACTAATACATGCTGCAATGTGAATGAACTTTGACCTAGCACAATGCTAAGAAGTCAGACACAAAGGACCAATGTGTATGACTCCATTAACAGAACAGATGACTGCCTGGGGCCAGGAAAGAACTAGTAGGTGATAGTTGAGGGAACAGGGTTTCTTCTTTCTTTGTCCCTCCCACCCCTTCTAGGGAAGGAATGATTCAAAACTATCTGTGAATGCACAGTGTTGCATACCTGTAATCTCAGAATACAGAACTCACCGGCTGATGCATGAGGATCACAAGTTGGAAGGAAGCATAAATTATATAACAAACCCCCATCTCAAAGAAAGGAAAACTCCAACTTAGTGACATATACTCAACTATGTGAACACAACAACAGCCATTAAACTACATCTTTTAAATGGGTAAACTGTACAATAATATGCATTACATTTCAATAAAACCAACTTTAACATATCTGAAAAGGCATAAAATTAAAATCAACCCTGTGATTCTTAACCAAACTAGGAGAAACTGATGTGACCTGTTCTCAACATACAAATATAAAAGCCAATGCATCACACACAAGTATGTGCATGTGTTCTTAGAGTCCACATCTCTGACCAGGAGGAGAGTTTGGAAGCAGTCACACAACCAGCAGCAGTGGACACACCCAGGGTCCCAATCCTACTTGGTTCAGGGCTTGCCTCATGTGCCTAAAGCCTTGAGTTCAATCCCCAACACCACATTAAAGCCAGATTTGGTGGGGCATGCCTGCAATCCCAGCACTTGGGAGATGCAGGCAGGAATCACGTTCACAGTCATTCTCAGCTACATAGCATAACAAGCTCAAGGCCAGGCTGTACTATGAAACCTTGTCTGGAAAAAGAAAGAAAAAGAAAAAGAAGAACAGAACTCCTTGGAAAAAGGGCCAATTATAGGGCTGAAGCAAGGTAAAGACAAGATGGACAGAACAACAGTTGCCAGGAAGACAGATGCTCAAGAACAAATCATGTCAGCAGGACAAAGAAACAGACTTGGAGGCTCCCACTGACCTCAACTGAATGCTTTTCTTACAACAGAACCTGACGCAACCTCCCAGAATGCTAGATGGAACTCTGTGACTACCAGTCCAATCAAGTATGGCAGAAACAATGCCAAATAAATGAACTCTCAAGGCTAGATGGTAAAAACACCACACATTTTGTAAGACCACTTGTGGAATCCAAGCACGTTTGTACACACAAACCCAAAAGAGACCGCACAGAGATTCCACATTCCCCAGGATAGAGCAAAGACACCTCTGGAAGGTTCTGGTCCCAGCTATCAAGTCATCCTCACACTGTACAAGAGCCATTTCCCCATTCCATCTAAATTTATGATTCACAGGTTAGTGAACCTTTTTAATAAAATACTCTGCTCAGGGCTGGAGAGTTATCTCAGCTCACATACTGCTCTTGCAAAGGACATGAATGCAGTTCCCAGCACCCACATTAGGCAGCTCACAACTGCCTCTAACTCTAACTCCAGGGGAGCCAACACCCTTTTCTGAACTCCACAGGCACCTACACTTAAAAAACAGCTCTCTCTACAACATCTTGAAGTGGTCTGTATAGAATCAATAGAATACAGCCCTCTAGAATATAAATTCAAGTCCATACTGATATAAACAAGCTGTACATGTGATAAAGATTGGGACATATACCTCTCTACACCAAATCTATTAATATGGTATCATATTAATCATATCACAGGTTTGTAATCCCACCACTCAGGACTGCTAAAGCAGGAAGATCACAAGTTCAAGACCAGCCTGGACTACTCAGTGAGACCCTGTCTCCAAAATAAAAACAAAACACACACACACACACACACACAAGACAGAGGGTGGGAGACACACAACTGGAGAGTGCTAAGGGAAAGAAGCAAAACAAGGGAAAGCAGCAAAGAAGCCAAAACTGAGCAAATCATAGAAGGTAACATAGTTTACAAAAACCTAATCTTAGAAACATAGACACAATCCAAATGTCCACTAAATGTTGCATGGATAAGCAAATTGTGATATGTCCATACAAAGAAAGTTTACATTAAAAGCTGATGAAAAAACACTATGCTCAATGAAAGAAATGAAATGAAATGGGCCTTTGGTTGTCTGACTCCATTTACATGACAGTCTAGAGACAAATCCACAGAGATGAAGAAATCAGTGGAGGGATGTTGGGAGCAGGTAGGTAAGTAAATGGACAGGCTTGGGGAGAATGGTGCTGGAAATAGTCTAACATTAGACTGTGGTAATGGTTGCACAATGTACATTTTATTAAAAAAAAAGAATGAATTCTATAGACTTTAAAAAAATATTGTGAGGGGGACTGGGGAATGGAGAGATGGCTCAGTGGTTAAGAGTACTGTCTGCTCTTATAGAGGACCAGGGTTTGATTCCCAGCACCCACATGGTGGCTAGCAATGGTCCGTAACTCCAGTTCCAGGGGATCTGATGCCCTCTTCTGTCCTCCATGGGCACTGCATGACCCAGGTACACTTACATACATGCAGACAATACACTCATACACATAAAACAAAAATAAATACATCAAAAACAATTTTTAAATAGTAATAATTTTTAAAATATTGTGAGGGATAGTGACATGGTTCAGCAGTGAGGCACTTGAGACAGCTTGACAACCTGAGTTCAATCCCTTGGACCCAGATGGCAGAAAGAGAAAAGTGAGTCTTAACAACTTATCCTCTGACCTACACACACACACACACACACACACGCACACACCTGCTGCACATGTGCACACACACACACAAAATAAATGCAATTACTTTTTTTAGGTATCATGAAAGGAAAAAACTAAGGAACTATTCCCACCACTGACAGAGGTTAAAGATAACTAAACAATGGATCCTTTTTCTACAAGTGACATTACTGGAATGACTGGCAAATTTTGACAGGAGTCTGAGATTAAATGGAATATACTGCTTCCTTGGTTTTGATGACTGTGTATAGGTATGTAGGAGGATGTCCCTGTTTGTAGAAAAGTGTTTGGAGTGAATACAGTATCTTGTTTGGCAACATAATCTCATTTTATTCTGAAGAGGGACACTCTTTGTATTGTACTTGTAACTTTTCTGTAAATCTGCAACTATTTCAAAAAGTATTTTTAGGGCTAGTGAGATAGCTTGTGAGTAAGGGTGCTTGCTGCCAAGCTGACAACCTGAGTTCCAATCGCCAGAACCCATATGATAAGGAGAGAACTCACATAAGGAGAGAACTGACTCTTGAAAGTTGTTCTCTGTCCTCCACCACAACATACATACAAATACTAAGTAAATAAATTTACTTTTAAAATATTTTAATTGTGTAAACTATGAAAGCTTTAAAAAAGTATGTGAGTCAAGGTGTTAAATATTTGGTTATTATCTTCATAATTAAAGAAAGGCAATATAAAATAATCTCTTTTGCTAACTTAATTTTAAGATTGATAATTGTAACAATGAAAGTAACAGAGAAATCATAATTTCTGAATGTTTAGAGACAATCTGGCACTATCTTGAAAAACTCAAGGTCAGTTTCTGGGTCAGTAATCCTCCTACACCCTTTGTAACCCTACCCAAAGACAGGATCCACGTCTCTAGTACTCAGCAGGACACCACAGAACACCTATGCTAGCTCCCCTCACTGTGTGCCAATCACCCACTACCTATTTCCCAACTGGAATCAACTTTTTCAATGCAGGAATCATGGCACAATATACCACAAATGTTAAGTGAACAAGAAATAAAATCTTAAAGTATCAGAACCTTATACACATGCAAACTACTACACAGGCTCAAAAGAAGAGAAGGCTGGGGGGAGGGGGATACAGACTGAGGCTCAACACATTCCAGGCAAACAGATCAGATAAAAAAATTACTGAAGTGAAGGAGACAGCATCCCAATATATTTAACAACTTTTAAGTTAAAATCAAAAGGCAGATGAATAAAACTGGGAAAAAGGCAGAGAAGACTAACAGGAGAAAAATTTTGGAAAATTTTGGAAGGCAACAAGAAAACAGTTTTTGGAGTGGGTCGATTTAAAGTTTCTTGTCAGACCATTTACCTAGGAAAGTGTCTTAGCTCTTTAGACTATTAGCAGTGTAAAACAAGGACATTTTTTTTTAAAAAAAATACAACAGGATACGGCATAAAGAATAAAATTTTAAAATAAAATCCACTAAGTGCTGTCAGGAACCTCAGTGATGCTTTTCAAACACCACACAGAAGACTGATAGGCTAGACGGACTGCATTAGAGTAATGCACAAAAATTTGGCCACTCTATTGTATACCCACTAGCTCCCTCAGACCAGCTTCTACTTCTCTTTCAAGCTGTACTCCTCTTACTTAATCCTCTTCTTTCTCAAAAAGCAAGCTGTTCTGTCTCATCCACTCACCTCCAACAGGGAAACTAAATTCACTGTTTGCAAGGAATAGCCTCAAGTCACACAAGCTGCTCTTGCAGGTCTGGGTAGCAAGCACCCACACTTTCAGAAGCAACAGCATCTGGGACTGGGTAGTTCTCTGCAGTACAGGGCCATGGAAACCTGTCAGTGACCTGGCAAGATTTAAGTTGGTTCTGTAGATACTTGTTCATGGCTTGGAAGCAGGGCCAAGAACATCAGTCTTTTCTCTTCACTTTGCGTTAAGAACTTTTCATTCTCAATTTACTGTTATTGTGGTTTTCCAAAGCACTTAAATACCTTATTTTAAAAGAAAAAGAGTTTCTGTTTTTAGAAGGTGACTACCTGCTTTAAGGAAACCAACTGAAGATAACAAGAAATAAAATAGAAGCTTCATCACCTTCAAGCAGCCCTTCCAAAATCCCTGGTCAGTGATTGACAACCACTCTGGGAAAGGCAAGATGGCTCCTACCCACATTTCTAATCCAGCCTACGACACAAAATTCCATACAGAATGTCCACTGATTCCCTGTCCTCGGCACTGGGTTGGCCAGCCAGGCTTCTCTACCCACCCATGCACAGCAATTTACCTTTAACCTCACTCTGGGAACTCTCTGGAATATTAAAGAGGTGGGGACAGGATAAAGATTCATTGTAAAGCATTTTAGAGGTGCTCCTGTTTGCTCTCCCCAAAACTTCCTGCTGAGCCTTCTTCTACTGCATCTACAGGGGATGGAGGAGCTTGGTCTCTCAACGAATGGAGACTCAGAAACTTTAAAAAGCTCCTACTCCATGTACAACCCAATTTGAGAAATACTCTATTATGCAAATAAAATGCTTTGCAGTCCTTCTTTTATCAGGCCTTTGTCCTACCCCCGCCCCCCCCCATTATAACAGTGAATTCCTAGGCTGGCACTCCTGTGCTTATCCACCTTCCTTTTGTTACTTTTGGTATCTTGACCATTTAGGAAGTTAAGGAAAACGCATACCCTTAAAGAAATTTCCAAAACTTCATAGGTCTTATGAAATCTATGTTTAAAATTATTTCTCAGGCCGGGTGTGGTGGTATATGCCTTTAATCCCAGCACTCAGGCGGCAGAGGCAGGTGGATCTGTGAGTTCAAGGCCAGCCTGGTCTACATAGCAAGTTCCAAGTCAGCTGGGGCTACAGGGAGACCCTGTCTCT